AGGTTGGGCATGATGGCTCACACCTGTAATCCTGGCACTCTGGGAGGCTGGGGCCAGTGGATTGCCTGAGCTCAGGAGTTCAACACTAACCTAATCAAGAGTGAGACTCCCTCATCTCTAAAAAAAAAAATATCTGGTTATGGTTGGCACCCTCAATCCCATCTATGTGAGAGGCTGAGATAAAGGGATTGCTTATGCCCAAGAATTTGAGGTTGCTGTGAGCTATGACGCCACAGCACTCTACCCAGGGTGTCAAAGTGAGACTCTGTCTCAAAAAAAAAGGCGGGGGGGCAGCTCCTGTGGCTCAAAGGAGCTGGCCCCATATGCCAGAGGTGGTGGGTTCAAACCCAGCCCCGGCCAAAAACTGCAAAAAAAAGAAAAAAAGAAGAAAGGCATTAACATAATAAGGTACAGTGGAGGACAAATACCACATGATCATTTCAATTGATGAAGAAAATAATCTTTGACAAGCTCAAAGATTGGTAAAGATTTCTTGGCCGGGAAGGGTGGCTCATGCCTAGCACTCTGGGAGGCAAAGGTAGGTGGACTGCTTGAGCTCACGAATTCAAGACCAGCCTGAGCAAAAAGCAAGACCCTGTCCTACTAAAAACAGAAAAACTAAGGCAAGAGGATCGCTTGAGCCCAAGAGTTGGAGGCTGCTGTGAGCTGTGATGCCACAGCACTCTACCCAGGGTAACATAGTGAGACTCTGTCTCAAAAAAAAAAAAAAAAAGATTTCTTATAACACCAAAAGCACAGGCAAGAAAGGGAAACCCAGACAAACAGAACCACATTTGTGCCTCAAAGGAACTGATCAAAAATGAGAAAAGGCAACCTATGAAATGGGAAAAAAGATTCACAAATACTATGTACCTCATAGGGGTTCATGTCCAGGTTACAAAAGGAACTTCTAAACTTTACAACAAAAACAACCCAATGAAGGAAGAGCAAAGGACTTAAATAGACATTACTACAGTGAGGATAAGCAAATTAGCAACACAAACATAAAAAGACTGGGACAGGCTCAGCACCTGTGGCTCAAGCTGCTAAGGCGCTAGCCACATACACCTGAGCTGGCGGGTTCAAATCCAGCCTGGTGCTACCAAACAACAATGGCGGCTGCAACAAAAAA